GACAGGCCTGCACGCGCCTTGCGGATCACAAGGAACCCTCTGTGTCGGTGGCGCCGTCCCTCCCTCACTGCGGTGACCGGCCCGTCACTGCCTCCGCCGGAACCTCTTCCCGACGTGAGCACCGCAACTCCTTGTCGACCAGCGAGCGGCGGATTGACGTCCTCCTGCCCAACCTGCGGCAGAGTGCGCTTGTCCGTCCACAGTATGAGGGCACATGCCGGACGTGCTCAGCCTGGCGTTATAATAGTTTGCGAGGGCCTCCCATGCGGATGCCGCAATGGCGCCACCGTCTTCTTAACATGCGTCTCGCGCGCAGGTCGCCACCGAAGTTGCCAAGCATGCCGGCAGGCAAGACACGCAGGAAGCACAAACGCGGGTACTCGAGATGGACCAGGCTCTTCCGCCACCGCCTCATCACGGACGCCACGGGCTGCTGATCCCCGACGGACCACGGGAGACTCCGCCTCATCCACTGCGGGAATGCCCTGCCGTTGGGAACTGGACTGCGACTGTGTGTGACTGCCCCAGTCCGCACGACGGAATACTTGCCACTTTTGTACGGACGGCCCTTGCGCTACTCACTCGTTATTGTAGCAGCATACAACCGAAAAAAGATAACAAGCTGCTTTGTGGTGAATATTGGCTGCACTTCCCGTGGACCAACAATCCGCGTGGTGTGCGGGGATCTCCTTTGTATTGTTACTTTGCTTTTGTGTTGCTGTGTGCGCACCCTCCGTGAGGGGTGCCGACACGACGGACCGCTCTCGCCGTATGTGCATGCGGTGGAGCCTTGTGTGCCGCTCCTGTTTGCTTCTCCCTCCTCCATCTGTGTGTTGGTGTTGCGGCAGGGCTGTGTGTGTGTGTGTGCCTGCTGCCGTGGATTGGAGTGTGTGTCGTGCGTGGTGTGCGGCGTACGGTGCATGCCTGGCTGCTGCCCTCTCCTCATGTGGTGTGCCCTCTGTGTGTGTCTGCCGCACCTCTCGTCTCTCCTGTTGCTCTCCATTTCCCTCACCGTGCAGATCAGCTCCACACCACTGAACGACCACACTCACGATGATGACGACGTGCCGTCTGCTGTGCGCCCTGTTGGTGCTTGCCCTGTGCTGCTGCCCGTCCGTTTGCGCGTTAGTGGAACCGGAGCCTAAAGTTGATGTTCAAGCTTCCCAGACGACCACGACGAATACAACACAGCCACCAACTGCTAAGCCGGTTGAAGCTATTGTAGGCGCCCCCAGTCAATCGACCCTTGCAACAGGGGGAGCATCACAGGAGACCGGTCATTCAGATCCTTCAACAACGGGGCCCGTTGCAAGTCCGGGAGATGATGGCAGAGAGGGATCAGGATCTACCAGTACGGCAGTTCTGGAACCAAAAGTAAGTACCGAACCAAATAAATCACTGACAGAGGGCACGAACGGTATGACAGGACAACAAAGTCGCACCGAAACATCCGCAGAAGAAAAAAATAAGGAGTCTGAAGCCTCTGCTCAGACAACCACCACGACCACCACAACACAGGCACCAACCACGACGACCACTACTGCGCCAGAGGCACCAAGTACTACGACTACAGAGGCGCCAGCTGTGTCGACCACCCGCGCACCGTCACGTCTGCGCGAAATCGACGGCAGCCTCAGCAGCTCTGCGTGGGTGTGTGCCCCGCTGGTGCTCGCCGTATCCGCGCTGGCGTACACCACTCTGGACTGAAGAGGTGTGTGCGGGCTGTGCGTGCCAGCACTCAACCGCGGGGATTTGTGCGCGTGTGTTGTGGTTCACTGTACTAAATAAGAGGAAATAATGATCTTGTTTTGCTTCACTTGCTTCTGCTGCCGTGCTGTGTGCTCCGCGCTGTGCCCCGCATCCGCCACGTTGAACGCATCGCGGACACACTCACATGCATGCGCACTGGAGCCCTGGGTTTGTTTTTCTTTTTAATTTCTGTTTTTTAATTATTGTTTTTATTGCTTTTTAAAATTGTGGTTTGCTGGGCGTTGTGCGAGCTCTGCTATCGTACTGATTCCATCTGTCTCGTGGTGTGTGCGCTGCTGCTGCCATTTGTTGCTGTGCGTGGTGTAGCGGCTGTCTCTCCTTTTGTTTTCACATGCTATCGCAGGTTGGCTCCGCAGCGTTAGGCGACTCCACTGTTTGTGATGATGACTGGCCGTGTGCTCTGCGTCCTGTTGGCTCCTGCAGTGATGTGCAGCTTCTCGTGCGTGTGAGTGACGGCTGCTGCGACGGGGTGCGTGTGCTGCCCGCGGGTGATGGCGCGGTGACTGCTGGGCACGCGCGGGGTGTGATGGCTGCGGAAGGTGGACCCGTGGCCGGTGGCTCTGGACGAAAGGGGAATGTGAACTCTGAGGACAATAGCAATCAGGAAGACGAGGAGGGTGGAGGAAACACCGCGGGTGAGGACCCCAATCCCACCTCGGGAGGAGCACTCACTGCTCCGACGAGGCAGGACCAATCCAGAAGCGACCCACTGCGAAGTGGCACTTGCAATCCGTCCGGCACTGGCAGCGCGTCTGCTGCTCGGATGCGCGCAAGTGGACCGGAGTCTTTGGGCGGAGGGCACGCTGCAGGCACAACATCCCCACGCTCCGACGCATCTCAGCAGGCAGCGGGTGGAGTGCATGCTGGTGGCGGGATGAACTCCCAGGGCAGTCAGGCTTCGGAACAGACCGTCACGGGACAGTCACAGGTGCCAGGGACGGCGAAGGAGGCACAGCAGGGCGATGAAGGAGGAGAACCCGGAGCACAACACGAGGCCGACCAAACCACAAAAATGACTGTGGTGACCTCTTGCGCAAAAACAGCGGTGGAAGAGGAGAGCCGCCAGCGGGATCGCAAGATGCACCACGTCTCTATAGTGGCGGGAATGCTCATTATTATTATTTTTCCCTGCTCTTACCGACATGTCTAGCCACACGATGTCATCAGGGTGCCGAGGGGATGGTCGAGCAGCGACATGAGTTTTCTGCTGTGAGGCAGCTGCCATTGGGAGAAGCTTTCGGTGCGAAGGTCCTTCTTGATGCCCAGCCGTTGGCGCACAGCCAGAGCGTCTGTACATTCCGGAAGCAGATGGTGCAGTGTTTTCTGCGGGCCAATTTTTGCGCTTGTGGAGGCTGGCTGATCCTGCGGTAGCAGTGATTGCCTCCTGGCACTGCTGCTGCGGTGCCGAGTAGCGTCTGGGTTTTGTGCGCGGCGATTTCTGTGCTGTGCGGTGCTTTTTTTGTGTGGGGAGGACCGTGTCGCAGCAATCGCGGTGGAGGTCGGGAAGCGGTGGAGGGCGTTCCGGATGAAGGCACCGACAGTGACCGATGTGGTTCGTGTGTCCCACCGGTGTGGCGTCACAGTGCGGGCATTTCTTCTTTCGACGCTGTGTGGAGGGCCGTCTCTCCACAGGCGGTGCGTCGGCCTCCCTTGTCGTCGGGGGAACAGCTTCCGTCCCGCTGCGGTGGGATCGTCGTTAGAGCGCATGAGAGCAGACTGTTCCGGTGAGATGTTGCGGAAACGGCGTTGGTTCGTGCAGTCTCTCACAGTCCAGTACAGGCGACCCCAGAGCTCGGATTCCCCGCACCCTTCCCGTGCAGTGTGTATCCGTTCCTGTTGGTCGAGGGCTTCCTGAGTGATCAGGTGCTTGCCGCCTGGATCTGATGGCCTGGCGCCGCCAAGCAGGTAGTGGTGGGTGTCCTGATGCATGGTACCACGCCACTTGTTGGTGAGCTGGGTGTTAATGCATGTCAGCAGGTCCGTGTGCCACATGGGCGCTATTCCTTGCTCCGTGCATTGCCCGGTTGCCGTGTTCTGCGTCTGATGATCTGCAGGCTCGTTAACATGTACTCCGCAATGTTTGTAGCAAAACTGCAGCTGCACGGACCAGCCAGCACGCGTCAGCGACAAGAGACGCTGCCAGATCCGATCCTCCGTCCAGTCGGTATGACTGTGCGGGCCCTTGGTGACGGCGGCTAGAAGGGAATGACTGTCTGTAACCACAAGCAGGGTTTTTGTGTCTGTGCTGGATACGAGGGATACTCAGCCTTTCCATGGCCGGGAGCAGTGCACGGGACTCCGTCGTGCGGCTGCATGGGCGTGTGCCGCCGTTGGTACTGACATTCTCTATTATCTTCGAGGAACGCGGGGATGAGAGCAGTATGCCAATCCCGGCTGACGTGGGAATGTCAACACCGCTATTCTTCGTAATTACCCACGGTCCCCAGCGATGATGTTGCGCCTTTTCGCGGTGTTGAGGCTTTGGTTGCGTATAGGAACTCCGCAGCAGGGCGTTGCTGCGAGCACGACGGAGACCAAGGTGACTTCATTCCCCGAGAAGGTTCCACGCCATGCCCGGTGCGGGGAGGTGGGGCGGTCTGCCTGCAGACTGTCGGTCAGAACTGCACGACCGTTTCGCAGCGGTCACTCCGTTGATATCACCCGTGGCGGTGACGTTCGCAAGAACCCTGGCCCGAGGAGGATGGCTTCATCAATATTTGGCGGCTTAACATTGCAGGCCTCTCGTCCGTGAAAAAGATTGCATTTGCTGCGCGATTGGAGCAGCGTCCACCTGACACCGTTCTTCTGCAGGAAATAAGTAACCGTGGTGACGTGGCGACGAAATTATGTGGCCATAATGACTACCTTCAGGCCTCACTGGGCGCGGTGGTGGTGTTGCTGTTCTGGTGCGCCACTCTCTACCGTGCGAGCGCCTGTCGCTCCCTGGCACTGACCTCCTGGAGACCA